CCAAGACCATACCTACTCCAACAAGAAGGCCACAACTCCTAATAGTTGGAGACCATTTTATTTCTTTTCTTCTTCTGTTTGTTTTGTTTTGTTTTGTTTTGTTTTTGTTTTTCGAGACAGGAGTTCTCTGTAGCTTTAGAGCCTGTCCTGGAAATTAGCTCTTGTAGACCAGGCTGGCCTCAAATTTACAGAGATCCACCTGCCTCTGCCTCCCAAATGCTGGGATTAAAGGTGTGTGCCACCACCACCCGGCAGCCATCTTCTTTCAAACCACCACATAGTCTAAATTTTACATTTACATTATCGGAATTTTACATTTTAAAAGAGTGAACTTAGTTTGTTACTTTATACTATATTAGAAAAGAATTATACTCTCCAATCTCTCAGAATTAAGGGAGAAGTTACCAATGGGAATCCTTTGTATAAAAGTATATAAAACATAACACATTTAAAAATAATTCACAGGTCAAGAGAATGAGTGGACAAGTCATATACTAAGATGTTGTGGGAATTTGGCCTGTCAGACAATATGGGCATGGTCTTTTCTGGGAATATGTGATTGGGTAAAAATGGAGGGTGAGGGTCAGGCGCTCTCTTAGATTGTGGAGGGCTCACTGGCAGCGGCAGCTTGGTGACCTTCTGGAACTCCCCAATAGCCCTTGGGAATGAGGATCAGCAGCTAAAACATCAGCAGTGTTGGAGCCTCATTCTGTATTATGAGTGTACTTTATATTCTGCACCTGTTCAACAAATCTGACTTAATCCCAGAGATCCATTCCTCTTTATCTGGCACCCAATGTGTGGCTTGAATCGATGACTGTGCAATTAAAAGTCTCATGCTCTACTAACTGAGCTATTTGAACTTGAGCTTTGAGTGCCAGGTCACTTTACTTATATAAATAAAAAAGGTCATAAAAACACAATAAAGACAGATTCAGACAAAAAAAAAAGCCTCTAAATGGGTCACTCTATGTTTCAAATGTACATAGGCTTGAGAGAAAGATAAAGGGTATAAATAGTCACAGATTAAAAAAAATTAAAAATAATAAAGTCTTCAAAGGAATAGAGAAATTAAAAATATATAATAAGCTATATAAAGATGGAAAATACACAAAGTCTGTATTATGTATATTATTGGGTTTTCTTTGGATTTTTGGTTGTTAATGAGCTAACTGCTTAGAGACATTTGATTGTGGGGGCTGCTAAGTTAAATCAACCTATATATTTTAAATCATAAATTTTACATTTTAAAGATATCTTAACTTCGAAATTTGGGTTAAAGGATATGTTGCTTTGGAAAAGAGGTTTTGCTTTTGTTTCCACAGAAGATGAGAAGCTGTGGATTCCTTCCAGGCTAATATGGTTAGATCTAGGAAGGTCTCTGATGTGAGCAATAGCCCAGATGATCCAACATCCAGAACAGCTTCAAGGTAACTGGCTGAGAAGATGCAGTCTCACAGACTACTACAGGCAAGATGTAACCATAATTCTAAATTTTCTCAGGGTTCCAGCAATCAGCAGGAAGTTGTCTAGAGAACTATGCCCAAATTCCCAAAATATTGCTTATGAATGTTTGTTTTCATTTAAGGAGGGGTTAGTTATAAATTGTTATTGGTCATAGTTAATCTCTTTCTAAAAGAAGAAAGGGGGACATGATATAGAAATGATGGGGAAAAAGGTAGATTATTGAATCTACTATAATCCAAAAAACAAACACTAATCTCAAAATATTTTACATTGGTATAGATTTTAGTTATTGCTATAAATTTAAGTTTAATTTTGTTATACTATAGGTATATTTCTACTCTTGGTTAAGATATTGTGCTTATACAGCTTAATTAAAAATGCAATATATAATTAAGAAATATGGATTTACAAAAATAGTGTTAGTCATCTATAACAGTCAAACCTATAGTCATGTTAGTCAGGTTTTCTAGATATACAAAGATATAGTTCAGATAGATATTCTTCAAACATTTCAAAGACTTATAGAATATGGCATTTAAAATGTTTTAATAACTTAGACTTTTCATGACAGTGAGACACATCTACTCCTGGCAGCAACAATGTACTCCAGAGAAAATGGTGGGCATCAAATAAACTCTGTGTGGAGTTTGTTCTCTTTATGGGGAAAGCTAGCCATGTGGGCAAAGAAATGTCCTTGTCTCAATTGCTGATAGTTACTATTCAAACTGGACCAGCAGGACACTAAGAAAGGTGACTGCCAAGTTTTGCCAAGGCAAGGTAAAACAGTCCTTCAAAGTTCCCTGCTTCATAGGAAAGTCTGTCAGATATGCTAGGCCTGTAGGCCAAAGTTAGATGCCCCAACATTACAGAGGAAACTTGGGTGACTGTTCAGGCAGCCCGCTGCTTCTGTCATTTCTTACAATTTTGGAAGTTGCTTGCACTTCCTGCTTACTCAAGTAATATTACTTCCTACTCAGGTCTTTGATGGAGTTAAAGGCTAGACAGTTATAATTATAGATTTTCTTAGTTATGATAAAAAGATAAATTATATATAAAACTTTAGACTCACCAAGACAAGATAGATAATAGAATATTTTCTCTAATTTTGTCAAATACAGACTAGATATTGTAATTCTTACTTAATAACTATTTTGTTATATATAATTTTACTATATTAAAGTTAAAATTTTCCTTTTTGATAGAAAAGGGGAAATGCTACGGAATGCTTCTGTACACTAAAAATATGTATTATTTCCATTGGCTAATAATAAAAGCTGTTTGACCAATAGCCAGGCAGGATAGGGTTGGGCAGAACAATCTAACTGAGGACTCAGATGAGGAAGGGCAGAGTAGAGAGAGACACAAGCAGTCACCCAAGAAACAAAATGTCAGTGACCAGTAAAAGTCATGGCCATAGGACAATACATAAATTAACAGAAGTAAGTAAGTTTAAATGTAAGAGCTAGTTAGTAATAAGCCTGAATAGTCAATCAGTTTGTAATTATTTGGGACTATGTGATCAGGATATGAAAGCTTCACCTGTTTACAGTAAGAGAATATATAATATCCCTCCTTACCCACGTTGATGCCTGAGCCATCAAGAGGTGCAAACACTACACTGATGCTCCTCAACTTAGCAGGTTCAACTAACAACTATTTCTATGCTTTCCTACTTTGCAAGTACTAAAAGTTATGTACATCCAATAAAAACCGAACATCACACTTTTTCTAGTTAGTATTTATTATGTAATAATAATTTTTAAATTATTTATTTATAAAATAAATATTATTTATTTATTAAATATTTAGCTCTATTTTACAGACAGGGAAATCAATGACCAAAGAGTTTTCTTCATTACAATACAAACATCTTTTGATACTATGTATAATAATACCTAAGACAAAGTAATTTTACTTCTCTAAATACCCTCTGCTGGTCTCAAATTTATGATTCTCCTGCCTCAGTACTCTAGGTAATGAGGTTATAAATGTGTGTTACCATGTCTAAGACTGGCCATATCGCAACATGGTCACATGAGAATCAAAACCATATTAAAGCAGAGAAAAGGTTTATTCTTTTTAGACTGACTTCTCAATCAGCTGACCACCACAGTAATAAAACTGTTCATGGGGTGATCTTGTTAGACCTATAGAAGGCAGGTGCTTTCTTGATCTTAACATTTCAACTGGGAGATGGGAAAAGATGATAAATAGTAAAGAAGTAAAGATAAATATGGTCTAAAAAGGGAAAACAAGAGGCATGAATAGCTAAAATATTTATTGAGAAATTAAGTTCTGTGGACTGGAAAGATATTTCAGTGGTTAAGACCACTTCTTGTTCTGCAGAGGACCTAGGTTCAGTTACTGGCATCCACACAACGGGAAACAAGTATAACACAACCTGTGAAGCTTGGGTTCTGGAGCCCTTACCAAGTGTGAGAAGGAAGAAGGAATAAAGAAATGACAAACTGCACAGATACACACACACACACACACACACACACACACACACACACAGTAAAGCTGGCATCAGGCGGGGTTTTGCTACCTCTAGAACCTCTCAGCACATTAATATGTATAGCACAGATGGAGGGATTAGCTATTCTCAGTTGGAGATCTCTGGAGGCAGCTGTCTCAGGCTACAAACATCTGGGAGGAGGAAGTTGAAGTTACTAGTCTTTGCACACTCATAAACTGTATTAAAAAAATCTTTCATAAACACTCATACCTGGGCACCTGATGAGATATTCGTCACTCCTCTTGAGCCTCACCTGGGTAAGGCTTTACCACCCTGGAGGGCGAAGTCATTGAAGTTCTCAACATGGCTATGCTCATGTCAACAATACACATTCATTCAGGACTTCACTTACTCAGTGTTTCCTAGGCTCCCAATACAAGTGACTGTAATTCAAGTTCCAGAAGACCTGGCCTTCACTGTAAACATGTGGTATACAAATATATATGCATGCAAAATACTCATATACATAAACTAAAAATATTTAAATAAATGTTTTAAAGTTGGCTTCTACCAGAAAGAGTGGTGCGCACCTACAATCCACAAGGACTCAAGAAGCAGAGAGGCAACTTGAAGTTCAGCTTTACAGTCTACAAGATGAGTTCCACTAGCCAGTGATATAAGGCAAGACTATCTCAAAAAGCTAACATGATGGTCATGTGGTGGTGATGATGATGATATAGTAGTAGTTTTGTTTTCTTTACAAGGTAGCAAGTGGTGCCCTTCTATTCTTGCTACCTGGAACTACTCTTGAACTAATAAACTATGCCTCTAAAAAGCTTCATCAGAAAGAGTATGAGATAAACTTCATATACAACTTGAAGGATTTTCCTATTTAGCATTTGGTAAACATTTCTGAAAATTTCAGAATTCACCTCATGAGCAAAGGAGCTAGAAATCTGACTTTCCTAAGGCTCCCAAGCACATTTCTCAGAAGAGAACATTTTTTAAAAATAATCATCATTGACATGTACCTTGGCACATCACTCTTCTACTAATCAAACCCTCAATTTCTAACCTGGAATGTCTGAGGCTGTCCTTTTTGTTTTTTGCAGAACACAGTGTGCATTCACAGCCAACTGCATGGGGCTTGGGCAAAGACACGTCCTGTTTTAAAAGCATGGTAAGGATTTCATAGTTGTTACGATGAGCAGCTAAAATGACAGGGGCAACATCCATCGTTGTTGAATATTCAGGATTCTGAATTCGTTCCATAAGTTTCTGAAAAATATTCATACAAATGTCCAAAGGTTATTATCTGTGACATAAAAATATACTTATCTAAAGGATGGAATAAAAATAATATCATATAAGGAACTTTAGAATTGTTTTAAGAATAATACATTTTACTTCAACTCATTTTTTGAAATTTTAAAATTTTAATTCTAATTAACAAATGCTATATAATATAACATAATCTTCAATAGGCAACATTCCTAAAGTACAGTTCCATTTTCCTAAAGAAGCAAGGGTATCTAAAGAAATACTTTAAGAAAAAGAATTAATTTTTAAAAAAACTATTAGGAACATGCATGATAAGGAGAAAGAACAAGAATTTTAGGAAAAGAATAAAATGGAAAAAATAGAATGTTAAAAACAGCAATAGTATAAATGCATGAGAAAAACTAAAATTTCTACCTGTGTGGCCAGACTTGTCCTATAGATAGTAATGAAGCTACTTTTTTTTATACAATCCAATCCCTGCATAGTCACAACCCATCACAAATGCGCAAGATCACTACAATCACAATCAATAACTAATGAGAACTGCAACTATTAGTCATTTATCCTCCCATTTCATCCCCACGGTGAACGATTAGGCTGAGTATAATTAGTAACCATGAAGAAACTGAGGCTCAGAGAAGTTAATGTGCCTGAACCATAACCAGCACAGGTGCCAATCTCAACCAGGTCTGCATTACTCGGGATCCTGAGCTCCTCCCACTACAACAACCCTTTCGCCTACAATGGTATGAAATGAGAAAAAGAAACAAAAAACAAAAAAAAAAAACACTAGTAATTCAAGAATCAGGATTAAAGAAAAAGGTTGGCTATTTTATGACTATTGCATATTCTTTCCAATGCTTCTCACTTTTTTGCAGAGGTTTCCCTGAGAGCTGTTTGAGTCCAGGGTAAGCTCATCAAGTTCACATTTTGGTAACTTTTATTAACACTGTAAAAGTAGTGTACACTCATTATAAAATATCTGAAAAATACAGAAAAGCAGAAAGAAGAATAAAAATACCCATATTCCTTCTACTCAAATAACATTTTACAGTACAGTATTTCCTTCTAGTCCTTTCTTTACTTCACCCCCTCTAAAGGATACACTTTGCATAAATCCTAGTGTGCTAAGCACCAGTGATAAAAACAATAGTTCTTGATAAAAGCAATAGTTCTTAATACTTCAAATATCAAAAGAAAAAATAATCTCATTGCTCTAGAGCCCAGAATCTTCAAGGACAAAAATCATGCACAGAAATTTGCATGCAATTTAAGGAAACTCACAGACCCTGTGTTCAAGATACTCTGCAATGTAAATGACATTACAGCAAACTACTATGAAAATAGCCTTTTAGAAATTTAGGACTACCTCATTAGCAGAGATCCTCCCCCAAAAGTAGAAGTATAGGTCAAAAGGCCAGGAAAAATTAGAAGTTCTTGATACATAATGTAAAAGTCTTTTCAATGGTTTATAGTCTCGATAATAGAGGGATGCATTCATTTCATACTATTGTTTTACTCACAGAAAAGGGGACTGGCACTATTAATATGGGTGAAAAGCAATAAAATTTTGATTTATTTTCTTTTAAATAATGGTAAATTTTGATATTTTCTGAAATGCTTTTCTTCTTTTACGAAGTTTGTTCGTGTACTTTTCGATTATTTTTTGGAGATTCATATTCATGAATTTATGTAACAGTTACATAAAAGCCTAAAATTGTTACTTTTTTCTCATTGTATTGGTTGAAAAGAGTTATATTTACTCCCAGGCTTAAAGTCCTAACTGAAAAGAGGTCCTATGTTTCCTATGACGCATTTTATACCTGGAAAACCACTATGAGATGTTAAAAGATTAAAGCTTATAATTTCACTGCTAATAGTATAACCTACATATTTTCAAGTAAATAGCCCATATTTTAGAGTTAATAGTGAAAAGACAATTCAACACGTCAAGGCTATAGGATGAATTCACTGAAGTAGTAAAAGAAAAATATATTAAAATATTTGTGTCTGATTAGAAACAAAAAAGTTGTTAAAAGGTGATTTTAGAGCTGTTGTAAGTATTCGGATAAAGACTGAATAAATGACCTTGTCAGAGACAGAGCAACAAATGCTTTCTTCATCGACCAGCTGGGGACTGCCAAGGCTTACAACTGCTGAGAACAGTGGTGATGAACTAATACTTGCCACTTCTCTAATGGCAAATAGCACTCCACCTTGCTCCAAGGACAGAAATGTGTTCCCAGGCTAGAAGGTGGAGCAGGAATATAAAAATATAGCAGAAACTGCAGGATGAATGGCAGACATTGAATGGGATTCTATTGTCTTTGGTCTGTTAGTGAAAGGACCTCTTTTTAGCTACCCCCTTTTACATCATTCTTATTGGTTTCTTCCCAACATCTGAACTAAACAGTATTCTAGGAGAGTCACACTTTGTTGTTGATGTTGCTAGATTTTTGGTTTTTTTGTTTGATTTTCGAGACAGGGTTTCTCTGTAGTTTTGGGGCCTATCCTGGAACTTGCTCTGTAGACCAAGCTAGCTTTGAACTCAGAGATCACCTGCTTCTGCCTCCCGAGTGCTGGAATTAAAGGCGTGTGCCGCCACCACCTGGCCTGTTGTAGCTAGTTTTTAAATTGTGTGTGTGTGTGTGTGTGTGTGTGTGTGTGTTGCTAAAGGCTGCATGATAGACAAACACCTTATACTATTTATAACATCAGTTTTTTTTTAGTGGTCCAAATGAAAGTAAAATTTGTTTAGTTTTTAAAAATAATTTTATTATGATTACAGTTAGATGATAATTCCTGAAACTATTTAAAAAGATTAACTGATTAATATATCTTCAACAATAATAAATGTTAAAACTTTTTAAATTCAATGTACAAAAATATCTCATTTTAAAGTAACATTATCAATGACTATCTTGCTACTGAGAAAACCAATAAAATATTTTTTAAAATCCCTAATTAGATCAATCAATAAGAAATGACTACTATAAAGTGGCATTTGGTTATATTTATATAGCTCTTTTCTGTGTGCATTTTTAAGGATTTTAAAAATATTATTTATTTTATGTGTATGATTATTTCACAAGTATATATGTCTGGGAACAATGTCTATGCAGTACCCAGAGGCCAGATGAGGTGATAGATACCCATACCCTAGAATTGGAGTTGTAGATTGTTGTGAGCTACCATGTGGGTGCTGGGGAATGGAACCCAGGTCTTCTGTAGTAATAGCAAGTGCTCTGAACCACTGAGTATCTCTCCAGTCCCTTTTCTATGTATACTTTTAACCATCAGTTAATTATAAGTATAGTTCAGTATCCTCATTTTATCTCATTCAATATTTTTTATTACTAAAACTTAATTTAGGATTATTATCTTTAGCTGGGTGTGGTGGCTAACACTTATAACCCCAGCACTTTAATGGTAGGGATTTAGGTAGGGTAGGAGGTTCAGGAGTTCAAGATCATCCTTGGTTATTTAGGGAGTTTAGGGCAGTCAGGGATACATTAAAGCCGACGTCAAAAAATTTTAAAGTCATTTTAATTATTGCATTATATTCCAAAGTTTATATACACAACTATTTATAGTTCCTGTCTTATTGTTTAGAATATTTATTCATTTTTTTCCTCTTGTACTAGGAAGGTAATTAAGGGCATGATAGGTAAGTACTCTACCACTGAGATACCTTTTGGACATTTAAGATATGCCAAATGGTGTTCAAACTGCTACACATAAAATAAAAATCAATGATTTGCTTATTTCCTTCTCAGATTTCTAGAGGAGTAGTGTAGGAGGTCCTTCTGCACTTGTGTTGCTTTCATTGGTCATTAAAGAAACTGCCTCGGCCTAGTTGATAGGGTGGAACTCAGGTAGGAAGACAGAACAGAATTCTGGGAAGAAGGGCAGAGTGGCAGACACCATGGTTCTCTTGCCCAAGATGGATGCTGGTTAGACTCATGCCAGTAAGCCACAGTCAAGTGGTGATACACATTAATGGAGATGGGTTAAACTAACATGTGAGAGCCAATAAGAGGCTAGAGATAATGGGCCAGGCAGTGTTTAAATGAATACAGTTTCTGTGTGATTATTTTGGGTGTAAGCTAGCTGGGCCGGATGAAAAGCAGGCCCGCTCTCTCCTACAACAGATGAGACAGCACTAGGCTAAAGAACACAAGTATGTTTCTTGCTTATGATATACCTTGTAAAATATTTTCCAAAACACCTGATTCTGCAATAGTACACAACCATGGCCACTTTTCTTAATCTGGTCAAAAATGAGCAAAATTCAGTAACTTACTTGATTAGCAATTATACTTTAAAAATTTATGTTTTATTTTATGAAAATTTCTAAATGTTCTTTTCTAATAAATTTTGGTGCTTTCTATCATTTTTACTACTACTACTACTAATAATAATAATAATATTCATGTATGTAAGTATTTATTCATTGAGATAGGGTGTCTCTATGTAGCTCTAGCTGGCCTGGAAACTTGCTATATAGACCAGCCTGGCCTCAAACACACAGAGATCCTCCTTACTCTGCCTCCCAAGTGCTGGCATTAAGTGTGTGCTGCCAAGCCCAGATCTATTATTAATTTGAGATACTTACTGGAAGCCTGTTTCTCAGTATCCATAGCTCTACATTTGCCCAATGTCCGAAACTGAGACTTCTGTAACTTCTGTAACAATGAGAGCGTGTGCCGCTGCAAGTCTCACCTACTGTTTTTAAGCTCAAACAGTTCTTCCACACCAACTACCTAAATACTGTCTACTTTGTCTTCCGTTTGTTATGGCCTCATCATTTGTACTTCTTAAATCTATCTAGAAACTAATCTGTATTTTCAACAAAATACTGGTTCACACTGACATAATATTAACTAATTTAAAAAAGGTTTCCAGAAAGCAAAATTAATTATTATTTTCTCTACTTACTTCAAAGTAATATTTTACAAAGTAAAAATATCAATACTTTTAAAAACAAAATAAACTGGGGAGGGAGAGAAAAGATGGCAATGGGGCAGGAGATCTACTTTGGCTTAAAAATCCAGATTAATAAGTATTTAAGAGTACTGACTACTATAGTTGGTCTTGGTGATCGTTTTGGTCGATGATTAAGTAGTATATCGACAGCTCCCACTACTTCAGAGTCGATGGCCACCAAAAGTGCATCTGCGGACTTTAAAAAAATGAAAGTTAAAATGAAAATGGAAGATAAAAATGTAAAAGTACTTTAACTAATTCATGGTTATTTTAAAATTCTTCACACTGTATTATATACAGCAATATTGGATTTTAAAAAATTTATGTTGTCCACATAGTACATTTGCTTTCCAAATTAGTAGTACTTCTATGTACCACAACGTACCGTTTTTGTTTTGGTTTCAATGCACAACCTGGTAAAACAATGACTATTTCATAGAAGGGACTCTGTATGGAACAGTGCTGATCCATGCAATGTTTAAAGCTAAAAACAAAAACAAAAACCTTCAAGATGTTTTATCTTGAACCATGGACCAAAAATTTCCTAAGATTCTAAATTTATTAAAGAAATTACCAGAAACTATTAAGTAAAGAAATATGTTGGATAACATCATCAGTGAAATTCTGAGAAGAGGGGAGAATACAAAGATATACAAAAGCCCCCTAGTCTCATCTTCAAAACATACGTGGCTGATAGAAACGGTACAGTTTGACATTGTCAGCACTCATCAAGTAGAAACCACAAAGAATTCAGTTACCAAGGTTGTTAGAGTCATGAAGGAGTTTCCAGTTCCAGTCCCAGCCTACTGTGAAGACCTATTTCTGAGCAGAGGTGAACTTAATATTGGACTCAGGACTCAGGGACTCTGCGCTTCCTTCTAACAAAGCCAACATGCTACTGGCAACCATGACACCAAGTTTTGGATCTCTTGCTTTTTGTCTTTTTTTAAGAAAAACTATAATAGCAGAAGGAAAAATGTAGTAATGAATAATGATGTAATCTTAGAAAATGCCATAATTATTTTCAAGCTGTATACTCTTAACTGACAGAATGTTTACTCCTTTAAATGTCAGCACTCTTGCTCCCAGGAATGAAACTGTAGCAGATCTGTAGCATTCTTTATAGCTGCATAGAATAAAGCTTTCACTGTCCTTATTTGAATGTCAAAAATAAGACTAAAAATGGCAAGTTTTAGTGGCATGTTTAAAAATAGTATTTGACAACCCAAAATAGGGGCTGGAATTCTCATTAAACTGTAGGAATCACCAATGTTTTCCTGTAGAAAATATTTCCTTGCTAGATGAGAAATTTAATCCCTTGAAAATTTTAGAATTCATTAGATATGGTCCTTAAAAATGCAAGTACTTTTTTTTTCTTTTTCAGCTTCATGTTTCCCTGCAGTTTCAGCATATTAAATCAGTTGAAGCATACAAACTTTTAGAAGCAAGGACCCAGTATCTATTATTACTAGATATCTTATCTACAGTTTTAATTTTAATCAATAAAGCTAACTATAATAATGCCACTGCTCTCAAACACCATTCAATTCCAATAACCTAAAATATAGCCATGAATTTATTTACAACTCAAAACAACATCACCTAAGGAAAAAAAAAACCAAAAAACTAACAACAACCCAACTCACAGAGTAACACCATAGAGATTATTTCCCGAAAGAGACAGGCCTAAGCACTTTGACTTAAGAATTGTCCATAAGTGAAGGGCAGTGGCTTTCCCAAGCATATCTCAGCTCTTTACTGAATAAAAGAACAGCTAGAATAAAACCAACAAAAATGGGGAATAGAAAAAACTAAAAGTTGACCACAGAAATAATAAAATACCAGTAGAACAAAATCACTGTCAGAACACAGAAGTCTGCAGACTTTAATACTAGGACAAATTATTAATAATTTTTTTAGACCTCTACAGGAAAGGGCAGAAGGGGAGAGGGGAAAAAGGGAGGGGAGTGAAGAAAAATGTATAGCTCAATAAAAACAATTAAAAAATAATTTTGGACCTTATGAAGCAAAGTAAAATGATTACATTTTTAACTCCAACTAAAGATGGTAAAGTTAAATTATATTCAGACACACTACTCAGTAAAGGGTAAAGAAGTATGCTAATATTCAATGCTTAAAAGGATAAGCTTCAGCTATGAAAAGTACTTGTATTAAAAACATAATTAAAGAATGGCCATTGACTCATTTTATACAAATAGTATGTTACTTGATAAATAATGACAGTTCTGAAGGAAAATACTTTAATTTAAAAAAATAAATTTATCTGAGACACAGTCTTAAAACCAGACTGGCCTTAAACTTGTGTTCCTCTCACCCCAGCCTCCAAAGCACTGGGATCACAGGTGTGTGCCACCATGCTCAGTTTAAAGTATTCTTAAATACTTGCAAGCATACAAAAATTCTCATTCAGTTTTATTTCCCAATTTCTAAGCAAACTGACCATTCCCACTAAAACATATTCAGTACATAAACTTACTATATTTGAAGCCACTCTTTCCTTCTCACCTCAGAACTTGTCCAACAACTCCTGAACCTTCTACACTCAGTGTGAGAAGATACTTATATTTCCTTTCTATACCTGATTTCCACTTATAGTATATATTAATGCTCTGAAATATTCTGTAAGAACTTGGTCCTTCATCCAGAAGAATATTAGTCCCACATCCCACAACTTTAAATTGTTCTCCCTTTGTTGATTTAACTTGATAATATCTTTCTATTGTCACTAAATGTTTTTTCATTTTACGGTTAAAATTCTCAAATTAAGGTATATCATGTTCCCTAAATATTTCAGCACCATAATTTCAAAATCCAATGGCTTTTCCTCTTGTACCTTTACTTCAAAGCAAGAAATTAAACTAAAATTCCCTTTGGCTTTCACACCACCATTCTAACTAAACCAAAAATTGCAAATAATGCATTTGATCTTTTAAAATGCAACTCTTTCCTCCCAGCGCTTTTTATTAAATATAAAAACTCCCTAAGGGGGAAAAAAAAACCTGTGCTAGCTCTATGCTCTGCGATTTCTGCCCCTATGAAGATATATAGGGTCATCTTCCTGCTTATGATGCCTAGAGTAACTTGGTCATTGTCAGACAACCCCCAAAAAAGTAAAGCTAGAACCTGGAAATTGTACTGTTTTATATAAGTCTAACCTCCCCTCTGAGCTTGCTAGTTTTCACCTCTCTCTCCTAGTAACTCATATTTAGGATTGATAAAACCCTAGGACTCAATTCCCTTTCTTGGCAGCTTTTGTATCTCCTCATACTCTTCACACACAGGGCCTCAGGCATGCAAGACAAGGGTTTTACCAGAAGCTACACCCCAGCTCCTCCCCTCTTCTTACAGCCACTGTTGCTCTTATAGGCAGTCTTCAGTTCAGGCCTCAATATTCATACCTGAATTACTACAAAAACTGCCCACATGGACTATAACCTTCCCTTCCTTCCCAGTCTTGCCTAAACTTGAACACCATATTCATCTATCTAAACTAACACAAGACACATACCATATTTTCTATCAAAATGTATTGAATGATACCTAACTATCGATTATATAAAACACAGATTCTCAACCTCCCATTCAAGGTCTTTTTCGACAGTTTTGTTTTAGTTATTTTTCCTGAGTATTTTCATTACAACACAAGCCCAGTGCTTTATTCTAACGGCTGTGAATTCACTGCCTCAAAAAACACACTTTATATATCTGCCTTACATTCTTTCCTGCATCCCCTGTCCCTTAACTACTTCTAAGTTCTTGAATAGACTTGGATAACAGGAAGAACATGGGCTCGAGAGCCAGAACCTAAGTGCAGACCCCAAGTTTGCCATTTACAGAGTAAATCCAGGCAAGTTATTTAATCTTTCTGAAGATCAGGAAGACAAGTCCACTGACACAAAGCAGGGCAATATAAATGTTAGCAATAGTAATATTTCTTTTTTGATTTTTAAATTTTATTTTATGTGTATGAGTGTTTTGGCTGCACATATTTCTGTGCACCACAAGTGTGTTTTGTGCCTGAAAAGGCCAGAAAGGGGTGTTGGGTCCCCTGAACTAGAACTGCACAAAGATGGCTGTGAGTCACCATGTAGGTGTCAGGAATTGAACCAAGGTCCTCTGCAAGAGCAACAGGTGCTCCTAACCACTGAGCCATCTCTCTAGCCAAATACTAATATTTCAAGGCCAAGCTTAATAGACACTCTTCAGTGAAATCTTTCTTAAAACTTTTAAAAGATATATTTTTAGACTGGGCAGTGGTGATGCATGCTTTTAATCCCAGCACTTGGGAGGCAGGGCAGGAGGCCAGTCTTGTCTATAGAACAAGTTCTAGGACAGCCAGGGCTACACAGAGAAACCCTGTCTGAAAGTAAACAAACAAACAAGACACATTTTAATTATATGAATGATTTGCAATATTTGCATGTGAACGCAGGTGCCTGTGGAAGCCAAAGATGTCAGTGCCTCCTGCAGCTAGAGTTATGAGTTATTTGATGTAGGTACTAAGAACAGAACTGGGGTCTTCTGCAAGAGCAGCAAGTACTCTTCACCATTTAATCATCTCTCCAGTTTCAATACATTAAAAATAAAAGTCCCCTCTACCTCTTCAGTGCTGGGAATCAAAGACAGAGACTTAGACATGCTAGGCAGAAACCTAGTTTTCTTGATAGCTCCAAACCATAATGGTCTTACTATTTTTTTATATTACTAAAATATTTTTGTTGAATTGCAAAAAGTTTAAGTATAAAATAGGGCTTCTCAAAAGCAGCTCTATTGACATTTGGTTCAATAAGTGGGTCAAAATCATATGGGTTTTGGTGTTATTGCAGTGCCTCGCCTGTGTGTTTAGTAACATCTACAGCATCTACCCACTAGATGCCAATAGTAATCTGTCCATCAACTGTGAAACTGAAATGTCTCCAGATATTGTCAAATATCCTTTGGTACAGACAAAGTTGTTTTTTGAGAACCACTGTTGTAACCCAAGATAAAACAAGAAGTATTTTGTAACTGTAACACAATATACAAGCATCAAGCATTCTTACCACTCAGCACTTATTAAGTACAGTCTTACATTTAAATTCCCTTGTAATCCATAGGTGCTTTAGCTGTCAATTCATTTTAATACCACTGGTGAATAAGTCATATTTTCCGTATTCATTTCCACCATCACACCCAGCTAAGGTCTTGGACATTTGCTGGCTGACAGAATGAGGCACAGGTTACTTGGACAGAATACAGAGAACTGGAAAGAGCATGGGGTTTGCATCCAAAAGATTAAATTCAAATATTAGCTTTGCCTTTACTAATTTTACAACTCTGGGCAATCCATTAAAGTCTGTGAGCCTCAGTTTTATAATCTCTAAGATACAGCAATTAGTCTGATTGTGATGTTCAAACATAATCAAGACTGTGAAAGAATCATGTTACTGGAGAATTAGTATATATATAAAACCATATGTGTAAATGCAGTTATTATACCATAACATTTCTTATCCAAAATCATCAAGGACTGAATTTCTTTATTACTTTATTTTCTAGGTAACTGAAGCTTATGCCTTTAAGTGTTTAAATTTCAATTTTAAATGATTTTGATGGAAGTTTTCTGTTTTTAAAAGATACATATACATATATACATACATAAACATGTATGTTCTTTCAGCTAAGGTTTTAGGTAGTGAATATAATTTAACTTTTCCTTATTGATGCTAAACCACTGTTATAAAGTTTAACTACCAGGTAGACATTCAGTGCTAAAAATCTCTAATTAAACAATGTGAGTGGTCCCATGCTTCATTTTGCTCAGCTGTAGCTCTATGCTCCCTCTTATAGCCTTTCTTGATTCTCTTCAGATCAGAAATCTAAAAATTTAAGTTTGTGAAAATGAAATCTAAAATGAGAAAAAGCAGGCTTTGAAGGAGAAAGGAAAAGTGCTCTACACCTGAACGAAACCCAGAAACCTCATGGAAATTACAACAGCAGCTCAGAGGCTCTTCTCACTTAGTTTCTAGGTAGCTAAAGTGGCTAGGTACCCAATTTTCCTTTCTACCCCAAGTGTGTGTGTGCATGTGTGTGTGTTTCTATAATTAAATATAGACATATATACATATAAATCACTCACAAGTTCACATTATGATATAAATCATAGGGATGTATCTAAACCTGCCTACCATACTAAGAACAATTGCTGCACTTTCTGATGTCACTCCAAATGCCATGTCTCATTACAGCTGCAGCAGAGGAGCCAGAACTCTGTGCTATGTTCACCATGAGTGACCCAAAGGGAGAGGACATAATGCTATTAACTTATCCTTCAAGGTGTGCACGCACGCCTGCTTCTCTACCTTAAGGGACATGAAGACAAAGGGCAGGTTCTATCATTCAGTTTTAGATGAAAGCAAACTCAACATTTCAAACAAAGAAAAAACATAATAAAATCGGAGAAACCAAATCAAACTGTAAGTTGTTTTGTGAGGAACATTGTGTTCATGTGTCTATAAATAACATGGGCCACAGAAAACCCTGTCCCCTGGCATTTCTATAACACTTGTACTATTTTTAGTATTAATACAAATAGTTATCCTATGAGTAATAAAAATAATGTCATCTTTAAAAATTCATGATCGTTTACTTTCGTCTGATGTAGGGAAAGGAAACAGGAAGAAAAACAAATAAATTTAAAATATTACATTTTTAAATAGCTTATTTTGGATTGTTTTGTAAATTCTTTAGTGGCTTAAAACCAAATAGAAGGTGGAAGGCAAAGGAAGCAAGAGTAAACAAAGGAAACAAAAGGAAAGCAAGCTGGAAGGAAAGAGGAAAGCAGGCATAGCTAACATTTCTTAGACGCTACTGGATAAGATCATCTAGCCTTGTACCTGACAGCCGTAGTCCAAAAGTAGCTGCAGTATATCCAAGCTCTCGTTCTCAATAGTTATGGTAACAGCATTTCTCCCAAGCACATCTACGCAATTTATGTTCAAGTCACCTGAACTGTTTTCCTCCAAAATCTTTTTAACCATATAATAGTCACCTAAATAACAATATACAAACATACTTTAATATTTAAGACATTAAACAAGAATGAGTATAAGAAAATTTTTATCCTGCTGAATTAAAAGATTAAAATACCTAAACTCAATTTTGCTTTGCATGTGGACATGTGTACAGAAAATGTGAACATTTCCTGGAAAAAAGTATACCTTGATAAAATAATACACATATAAGCAATAAATATAAAATACTAGCAGAAAAAATAAATGTGTATCATGCTATAAAAATTTCTTGCTTAAAATTCTTAACCTGATGTTATAAGGAGAAAAACTTATAGAAGATATGTAGGACAATTTCATAAAGAATAACCCAAAATACAGTCAGACAGCTCTTATAGAAAAATAAAATGAAACTTAGAAGGAATTAGTTTTGGATCTCATACACACATTTACTCATGCATCATATTGGTTAAAATGGAGACCAGGAGAGAGGATATTAGAAAGAGGGGGAAAGCATACATTTAAAAAGTAGCATGAATTTGACAGTTTATATAGACAGGGCACCTAAATTCTTACTTCTCCCTTCTCTCTCTCTCTCTCTCTCTCTCTCTCTCTCTCTCTCTCTCTCTCTCACACACACACACACACACACACACACACACACACACACACGTATGTGCATGCACAGCCCATCTTGTTAAGGAAGGTGAAGTGTAGTGTTAATAAACAGGGACCATCCAGCTCACAAAATGCCAGGTTGGGGCTAGAATGACTGCTTGACCTATCAGGAGCAGGCAAGCTATCTTCTCCCTGACTGAGGTGACCACAGAAAGGTTAGTCATATGAGGACAATGGGAATTACTGTCACCAAAGGCACAGTTTATTTGCCTGCTGCGACTGTGCAGGAAAAAAGAGAAATAAAAACCCAAAGGGAAATGTTCATTAGAGAAAAGAAAGCAAGGGGATACTTGTTTCATTTTACTTTTTAAATACAAAATGGATAAACGATTTTATGTAGTTATTCTTTAGATGTCTGTGAGTAAAAAATAGGGAAAGAATAATCAGAGTAGAAACTGGAACAAGAAAAGAAATACTTTCATGGTACACAGAGAGAAAACATTAGACTAAATGAATAAGAAAAACAATATTGCAGCTAAGATAACAGAATTTATTTGTGAAAATTTCAGACTTCCTAATATTTTAAATACCTGCCTATGTTTTAAAAAAGAAACTGAATAATAGCTTTCTTAATAATACATCTCCTTAGGTTTCAAGAATAAAAAGCTAGTCATGAAATAATTTCCCCATACCACTAATTAACATTTAAATTCCGCTGAAGAAGCAATGTTCTTAGTCTTGAGCTGTGCCAAATTACATTACTATTGCTAAAAAAATAACAGTTAAAACTATTTCAGACAAATCAGTTTTTAAGCATAGGGGTAAGAAAACACTACCCATAAAACTTCGCTTTGCTATCCTGGTATATTTAGGTGAGGTCACTCATTTAAATTCACCTTCTTGGAACTCAATAGACTTTCCACATCTAAGGTCTTTGTGCTTCATTAATCCTGAAATATTTTCAGCTACTACTTCTTAAACGTCACTTCACTACTAAAGTTTATATCTGCAAGTGATATGCCGTAAAGACTAGAACAGTTGTTAACTTTGAGGATGAATGCATATGTGAAAAGAGGTTAGAAAACTTAACAAGACGGAAAGCAGGCTAACTGCCCAGACACTCAAAATGCCTGCTATACCAGATGATGTTTTCCTTTCATAGTCAAGGTGCTTGAAGTCATATCTCTTGCCTTTGGAAAAGCAATATAATTTGCTTACTTTTTTGATGGTATAGTTAGTTTTTTAAAAATTTATTTTTAATTGTGTGTCTGTTTGTGTGTGTGTGTATTGAATGTGGAAGCTAGAGGGTTGAGTATCTTCCTCTACTGCTCTCTACCCCTACCCTCAGCCCCAGACAGGATCTCTCCCTGAGTTCAGAGTTCATTGACTGGCTTAGACTGGCTGCCACCAAGCTCCAGGGATAGATTTGCTCAGGGCTACAGACTTAACATCAATACACTCTGCTTTTTACACGAAGGCTGGAGATTCTTCATGTCTGCAGAACACGCACACTTTATCTGCCACCTCCAGTCCCTAGTTGTCTTTGTTCACAAAGAAAACAAAGTATTTTTCAGTCTATTCCATAGGTGGTGCACCAGTGCAACAGAAAGTCATCCCAGTACGACCTCTAAGCACCTCCCACACTCATTCACCTGTCCCTGTGAACACAGTTAACCTCATCCAAATTATTTTCAATTCTTTTGGACAGTGAAACAGCCTCCTAACTGATAGAACCACTGAAGATTTTCTCTTGAACTAAATCCTAAGCAAGCTAATGGTCCCTTTTTTCCCCCCATATGAAGCTTCCATAGCCCATAAGACTTGACCAAAACATTTCCTTTAGCCTGCTTTCTAATAGCTCCAGGATGCATCACTAGCATGATCCTCTGCAAATGCACGCCTGAGGAAAGTCATGGCTGTTGGTTCATTTGAACACTGAAGACAGAACCCATTTCCTGGTCCATTTGAAAAGACAGCTATCTAACTACCGTTAGTGCCAGGTAACAAATCCACACTGGTTTCACATAAATCCACCCACTTTTTCAAAACCATCCACTTTTTGTACATTTTCCCCTGCTGTTTTATAATTTTTCCATTCCCTGACTCTATGAAACCCCCACTCACTCCTCTAACCCTTTAAACTAACTACCTCTGTACAAAATGAACTTGGATTCAGTTCACAATGGGCTCTTTTATGTATTATTACTCATACAATGCTTTACACTTTGACACAGGGGGTCAACAAAATTGTTCTGAAAAGGGGCCAGGCAGTAAAATATGCTAGGTTTTGTGGACATGACATCTCAGTCACAATTACCCAGACCTGTTTGCACCAAAGCAGGCACAGACCACATAAAACAATTGAGGATGTGCCCCAATAAAGCTTTTTGAATTTTACAGAATTTTTATGTTTTAAAATACCATTCTTTTAATTAGAAATATTTTAAGTATTTGAAATACAAAATGCAAAAGCCAGTCTGAACTCACAGACTTTAGAAAAAGAGTTGGACTTAGCTTATGAATCAGTTGGTCACCCATGGTCTAGCCCTACCTCGTCAGTCCATTCTGTAAAATCCAAAGCATATCAATCTTACGATTTTTCTAACATCCTCAATGGACACAGTGTTTACTGAATTCTAGGAAGCCACTGGAAACTGGGCCAGCAAATAAATAGTACAAAAAAAAAATCAAGGTGATCCCATAGACCCTTAGCAATAAATTTACTCTGCCCAACTCTTATAAATGTTAAGAGATGTAGAGTAGAGAAATGTACAATATTATTTATAAAGATGATTCTCTATTTTCTCACTGGCTTCTCATCTGACTTTCCAACATATGAAGATAAATTTCATCATTACTGAAATGACAGCATTAATGCTGGTCAGTTTTGTCACATGTGGGGGCTCGTGCCTATCACTGCAAATCCCGGGAGACAGTAGGACTGTTGCAAGTCAGAGGCCAGTCTAGGCTACTTACACAGCAAATTCCAGGACAAACTGGGCTAGAGACTAAGATTCTGTCTAAAAAAATCCCAGCTCTCCCGACTCTGCCAAAAACGTTGACCAGTTTTTAAACTTTATATTAACCAAACAGAACTTGCAGCTAGTTGTAAAGTGTGGGAAACTTTTGTGTCAAAAGTTTACAAATCTTTTCAAACCAAACTTTCTACAAAAACTTTTGGACTGCAAATTATAACATTTTACTTAAAATATTCCTAATTAAGGCAGGCAGTGGTGGCACATGCCTTTAATCTCAGCACACAGAGGCAAAGGCAAGATCTGTGAATTTGAGGCCAGTCTGGTCTACAGAGCAAGTTTCAGGGCAGCCAGGGCTACACAGAGAAAGTCTGTCTCAAAAGAAAAAATAATTCCCAATTAATATTAAAAACAGACTATGAGGAAAAAGCTTTGGAACCCAAAGAAATTCTACTGAACTCATAAATAATTGATATGGTACTGGAATCTTTTAGTCCTAATCATTCACTCTGGATTTTAATGTTATCATTTATTGCTTCTAAATAGTATTTGAATTTTTCATTACCTATATTAAACTATTATTCCTAGTCTTAGACTTCTTAACATCATTAACTTTGATGGAATTAGTCTAAAGAAGACATTTATAATAACGGGGCAAGAGAATCTCAGATTACAACAGAGCTGGTGCATTCAAATTTAATCTTTCAGCCTCATAATACACTGAAGTTTCACTTGGACAGTTTGTTTTTAACTTCCCAGGAGAGAGTGCTCTGTACTAGGAACAGCCTATCTTCCAAATGTCATATGGGCCATTTAAGACAAACTGAACATTTGCTCAGAGATCTATTATATACACAATTATAACATCTTTTTTACCCTACTGTTCCTTACTTCTGCACAAGAAAACATATTTATAATAGAAAAATTCCTAAAGAATATTGATGTAGTCAATAACTCATTAATAACAGCTTTTTGTCCAATTCCTTAACACAATTAAGAACTTCATGTATATAGTTTGATAGCATGGCAATGAGTAGAAAATTAAAAAAAGGGAAAAAGAAACGCACCGTGAGATCACTACACAGGCCAGTAAGGCAGCTAGCTGCTCAGGCACCAATCATTAAAGTCAGTGAGAACCACTCTCTATGGCTACACTTCTCAACTAGTACATTTCACAGCTTTGTTGATTTACGAAGATTCCCTGTACAGAATGCATATGATCTATAACTAGTGATACTTCGTGAGCTGTTTAGAATGCCTATAGCAACCCCAATATTCTTGATGCTAATTATACTCTTATCATCCCTCCTTTCTGCAAATTATTTTCCTCATCGTACATATCATTTTTAAAAGATTTTTATTTATTATGCATACAGTATTCTACCTGCATGTCTGCCTGCAGGCCACAAGAGGGCACCAGATCTCATTAAAGATGGTTATGTGGTTGCTGGGAACTGAACTCAGAACCTCTAGAAGAGCTGTCAGTGCTCTTAACAGTTGTGCTATCTCTCCAGTCCCCGTGTATATATCTTTATATTAGGTGCTGCCTAACAACACAAAACTTCTCAACAATACTCAGGAATCTGCATTTAAATCATCCAAACCACTCTCTTCTCTAACCTTGCACCCTTCAAATCTCTTCCAAAACAGCAAAAATAGAAAGTACATACAAGCATATTAAATAAGTGTTAACACAACAGTGGCACAATTCTCAAGGAAATGCTGCACATTTTGAAAGCATCCTGAGCCCCGAGGTACACAGAGCTTCTATAGAAACTTAAAGTATCCTTCCTTATAACGTAGCAAGCCTCCCACAACGGTGACAGAACACAAACTAGGATGACTCCGGGGTACAGGTGAAATTCTCCCCCTCCCTTCTCTAACTCCACAGTGAAATGTTCAGAAGGGACTACTAATGAAAATACAAATTTTCTGCTAATACTCCACATGCAGCACTGGCAGAGAGTAAATATTCATTCTTCCCTATTCAGCATAAGCACTAATTAATGATAGCAACAAATCAAAAGGCTTACATTCACACCTATGTTTTAAAGCATCACCTACTTAACACTTTAAATGAGAAAAAATAAAGACATACTTAAGTTTAGGTGCTTCCTAAAACTTTACTTACCCTTTCAGCAGGCAAGAGGCCTTAGGGAGATCAGAGGTTCCCACAAACAAACAGGCTAATTACCACACTAACTCTCAATAAGAAAAACATGGTGGTCTACTTAATATCAATGACACAACACATTTATTGGCAGCTCTTGTTCAGTTAGCTTTTGTGTCTGAATAAAAGCCTCTCTATCTATAAAGAATTCACATATATACTTTGTAAGAATTTTATTTGGGTCTTGAGGTATATAGTTTCCTAATTTTCTGATAAAATGCCATACCGATTTCCAAAGTGGCTGTACAATCTACCTCAAGACCCAGCAATACCACTGTTGGGTATATACGCAAAGGATGCCCAGTCATACCACAAGGACATGTGCTCAACTATGTTCACAACAACATTATTTATAATAGCCAGAACCTGGAAACAACCTAGATGCCCCTCAACCAAAGAATGGATAAAGAGAATGTGATAGATTTACACAATGGAGTACTACACAGTGGTTAAAAAAATGACACCTTGAAATTTATATGCAAATGGACAGATCTAGAAAAAAAACATATTGAGGGAGGTAACCCAGACCCAGAAAGACAAATATAATATACTCACTCATAAGGGGCTTCTAGACATAAAAATCCCCAACCTACAGTACACAACCCCAGAAAACCTAGACAACAAAGAGGACTCTAGGAGAGACATACATGGATCTACATAGGAAAGAGAAAAAGACAAGATCTTTTGAGTAAATTGGGAGTTTGGGGGTCACAAAAGAGGGTAGATGGGGAGGGAGGGAGGAGAGCAGAGAAAAATATATAGTTCAATAAAAAGAATAAAAAAATACCCTTCTTCAATATAAACATTGGTGAAGCTTAGAAGCACTCTCATATTGAATACTGGCAAGAATACATCCATAGAACAGAGGTGAAGATGTAAGCTGGTGCTATAAAAAGAGCTTTGTAGGTTTACATAAATTTGGTAGATTTATATAAAATTCTGCTGCACATCAATAGTACAGAAAATTTTAATTCAATTTTCCTTATTATTTTTAATACAAAAAAGGACCAAGGGTTAGCTTTGAGATGATTCTGATCTATTTTGATGATCCACAAGAACCATTACTAATTGATTAATACTTGGATACGCAATTACATAGATTGATGGAACTAATTTACATAAAAGCTAGTTATTCCAAACCATAAAATCTCTCTTTTCCCTATTTTTGTTTACTCCTTGCTCTGTACACTGTTCATTTTAAATCGCCATTCATCCACTAAAATACATACAACCACCACACTTTTGCAAATTTTCTTTTAAGAATCTCTAGCTGTTATTTTAGAAGACTATACCACAAATAGTTCATTCATGAAGAGAGGATTATTAAACGTAACTAGTTGATTTTTCTGACCGCATTAAGGATACCATGCTTGTTTTTTACATTTATACAAAAAACAAAGTTTAATACATATAAGAGTTAATTTCCAACTAGTACATCCACATATGGATGCCTTTTCTAACATAAATTATTTTAAAACCTTCAACTATAATCAGATCAATAAAGCATACTAGTGGCTTGACATATATATACATATACAAACAAAAGATCTGATACATGGAGTTGTGGGATTAAATTACACGGAATATACATATATATTACATATACGTAATATATACATTTTAAAGTAGCAGTATTGGTGGTTGAACCTAGAGCCTTGTTTATGTTAGGCAAGTGCTTGACCGCTGAGCTATATCCCCAGGCCCTCTGAGCATTAGATGAAGTGGTCTACAAAACGCATGAGCACTCCACTCCAAAGCTACTTTAGTAAATGTTTGCCATTTGGGCTAATGAAGATTTCACTGTAAAAGTGGGAGTTAGAGCTATTTCAAGAATTTTTCCACTTTTATATTTGATTTGGACATTAAAATGTTTTAACAATATTAGTGATTATGAACATAAATAAAAATACGTGTCCTCTAACTCCAACTCATTTTTAAAACAAATGCAAATTAAAACTTTATGCAAGAAATTTTCAGTTTCTTCATTATAGCACATTAACCCCTCTTCCACTTCTACATATCTCCAAGGCTTTTAATGATGCTATAAATATAAATATATATATATGTATATATGTATCAGATGCCAGTTTCCATAGATAGACAGATATAGATATCTCAAACTGTTTCAACAAGTACTATGGACAGTTTATAAAACTTCTATAATTAAAACTCCTTTTGAGAAATCTCATGCAACTATTCTAAATATATTTATCACAAAAGTACCTGCTCCAATCATAGTACATTACAACACTTCTCTGTTCTCAGTTTGACAAGAATATCAAATTCCCTTTCCTAACATACGTTTAAATAATAACACAGTTCACCAGAATAAAAGCAGTGGTTCTTGACTGCTATAGCACAACATGATCATTTCCCTTCTCCTTTTAGATAATTTTTGAGGGAAACAACTCAGGCAAAGCACTTGGGGGAAAATTAAGTAATTTATATAATCTACAGATCACAAATTTTGTGACATTACAGACATACATTTTGTATTTCTTTATATTTCTAAGAGTAGTCAAAGATGCCTATGGTAGACTTTAACAAAATGCTTATTATTTAATGTTACACGTAAAACATAAAAGTGAGTTGGCAACAGATATAAGGGGACTTTATTTACATGTCAATGTGCTTTCCAAAAAAAGCATAAATAATTGCTTTTTGCCTCGCTAAGATCAAGTGTAGTTGTGTAAAGAACGAAAAACTATTTCAAAAGCTTTAAAAGGCTAGGGAGACTGTTGTTGACTTGAGCAAACATATGTAAACAAACCCAAAAACTTCTGTAACTAGCTTTCCCACAGTGTAAGGTGGCCTCTAAAATTAGGTTTTGAAAGTCTGCATGGTTCGAACAAGATTTTCCTAAACGAACACAGCCTTTGCACAACAAACTGATGAATTGAGGAATGACAATTTTTTAGGACTTTTTTTTCAGTTAGGAGCCAAATGCAGTCTGAGAGCAATCAGGTTCCCACTCCTTCATAACAAGGCATCACTGGAAAGCATATTTACCTCTTCATGTGGCCATAAAGTGATCAGTTTCTAGATTCAAAAACAGTATACTGCACATATTTTGCCTATACTTATTTTTCATTACCTTTGGCTTCCACCAATTCTCTGAAACAATAAACCTTTCTCCCTAATTTTTTTTTTTAAATACCAATACTCAAAGGGGGTTCCATAAGTTTAGGGAAAGTTTTGGAAACTAGGGCAGGATTTTTCCTGTCTCGTCCTGATTTCATATTATTTCTGCTTAGGATAATGGAATACCTAATTCCAACTCAACTGCAGCAGGCACTGGCGTCTGATGCTAAACAGAAGTCTCTAGATTAAAAAACAAAACAAAAACGCAAGGTGACAGCCCATGAATTGGAGAAATCATAACGGAAATAAACAGAATTTTCGAGTTGGAAGGTCCAAAACTAGCCTCTGACTCCCAAAGATAGGACTCCAGCCTGGAGTTTGTCAGTGACAGCAGTGGGGTAACTTTGGGATCAGGGCTCCCAACTAGCCACCAAACATCCCACCTGCAGGAGTCCACCGCCCCCGCCCTACCTGCCTGCTGGCTCCTGCTCAACCAGGCAGAAGTCCTGCGGGCCTCCCAGGTAGGAAATAGCCATCGCGCAAGAAAAAGCGGGAGTGTCGGGAGTAAGTTGAGGCATGGGAAGGACCCAGGGAGTGAGTCTTAGGGTGTCCAGAGGCGGAGGAAGGGGCCTAGCTCTCTCACCCTTGTCGCAGGCCAGCAAGAAAAGCTTCTCATTCAGGGTGTTCTCCTCCTTCACCTCCCGCACATCCTTCAGCGCCATCACTTCGTTGGGCGACGAGGAGGATGGGGAGGAAGGCAGAGAGGAGGAGGAGACGCCCGAGAGGTCCGTGCTCGGGTACAGGGCCGCCATCATCGCGGTCCACGATGGGGGTAGGCCGGGAGACGGAGGTTGGGCCCCCATGGGCGCCGACCCCGACCCCAGCCCCGCCCCAGAGCTGGAAAACGGGTGAGTCGTTCCCACGGCCACATCTGCATGCGGCCCGTTGGCCCCGAAGGGCGTCGCCTCGCCCCGGAACCAGCACTCGCCCTCCACGGACAGCCCCAGGTTGGTGGCCGCGCCG